CTATCTCTGACAAATAAATAAAATCTTAAAAAAAAAAAAAGACACTTGGCTCGAGGTGGCCCAGCTAGCACAGCTGTGGCGGCTCAGGCCTGCTGCCCACCCACCACTGTGACTGTGGGGGCTGTGAGCAGGGGTGTTGCTGATCCTTCCTGGGTGGGGGTGAGGAAAGCCACCGAGGGAGCAGGTGGGCACAGCTGGAAGTCCCCTCCCCCCCTCCTCAGACTGTATTACAGCCACCCCACACCCTCTGCCCTGTAGGATTCTTGACCCAGGCTGGTCTTCCCAATGAGATGTCACCTGCCACCCAATCTCTGCGTGGCACTTGTCCACCTAACACCTTTTTCACTTGTGAGAACCAATGAAGATACCATTAACAGTCTCCACTTTGCAAACAAATTCAGGCTAAAACTAATTAGTAAAACTCAAATTCTTTATATGAGATGCCTTTAGGGAAAAAGTCTTACTATGTTTATTAATTTTTTTTTCTTTTTTTTAAAGATTTTATTTATTCATTTGAGACACAGAGATAGAGAGAGAGAGAGAGCATGAGCAGGAAGAGGGAGAAGCAGGCTCCCTGCTGAGCCAGGAGCCTGATGTGGGGCTCGATCCCAGGACCCTGGGATCATGACCTGAGCTGAAGGCAGACGCTTAACCATCTGAGCCACCCAGGCGCCCCAACTTTTTTTTTTTTTTTCAGTGACAGGGTGGGTCACCTGCATGGCCACCATACCAGATTTCATGGGCATTTCCTACCAGAGGGACTGGCTTTGCATAAGGAGGAAAGCGTCCTCGCACAAATGCCTGGGCAGAAAGGCGCTCAATTCAGCATCCACTTGGGGCTCAAGTACTTCCCACTATTTGTAAAATCCTAGAGGAGGCAGGTGTCACTCCCCATTTTACAGATGGGAGAACGAAGGCTCAGAGAAGTTCTGTGACTTGCCTGTTGACCTGAAACCCCAAGAGTCCTGGTGATGGCGTCCCCAGGACCGGCTGGAGGGTATTCTATTCCCTACTCCTGGCCTAACAAAGTGCGCACAAATGCAGATGTCCCGTCACCATCTGGGGGAATCCGATTCTGTGGTCACCTGAAAGGAGAAAGGCAAGCTCGGCTGCTTTCTCAGATGGTATGGTGGGAGTGCATATGCTAGGTCAAACCTCCAAGCCCCTGGCATCCTCCACCTTCTCCCAGATCTTCCTGCCCCAGCAGCAAAAACAAACCGAAAACAAAAATGAAAGGGCAAGGGGAGGAGCTGAACATAAAGGCATCTTGGCGGGGGATGGGGAGTGGGGAGGTGGTTACTTGTGTCAGTGCCAAAGTCCAAAAAAAAAAGTCCAAATCGATACACTCAGCTCAGCACAAAGTTCAAACTGGATTTCTGCCTGAGACCAGAGGTCATGGGTTCCAACTCCCTGGTGTCAAACCCCTGCCAGGGATGCTCCGACCCCTCCCCCATTCTTGCCAATGCCAGCTTGGCAGTGGCAGGAAGTGGGACCCTGGCGGCCCTTGTATTCCCAGCACCCAGCTCTGGCTGGATGGGGCTCCTGCTGACCTCACTTCCTTCACTTCCACCAAACCAGCTGGTCCTCTCCAGATCCACCTTCTACCTTAAGGCTGAAGGGTGTCCTTTCTGTCCAGGGAGGCTTCTGCTGGCATCATGGACACTCCTGCCACACGCCGCCACCAGGTGGAGGGCTGGTGCAAGCCAAACGGGCCCTGGGAGGCCCAGGCTCTGCTCCCTGCAGTCTGCACCCTAAGGCCTCCCCCTTCACTCTCTGGGGACAGAAGGCTCTCATCACAGCTCCTGTTTTCCTACTGCGCTGATCCAAACTGGGACCGTTTGGGAAACACCAAACATGGGCAAAAAGCAACCAGCCTGCTTGCTGTCCTGGGACTGGAGTGAGACAGACAATGACAGGGCAAGACCACCTGCCTCTGGTGAGTTCCCCTGGCTTCTGCATGGCCAGCGACACCCGACCACTCTCTCCCCACCCTCCTCCCAGCCCTTTCTCTTCCTCCAAGGTCCTCCCCTCCCGTTCCCAGATACAAGCTAGCGCTTACTCCTCACATTCCTGAGACTCATAAATCCTTCTGGGTGGCAGAGCCGCCACCACCCCCGAGACGCCTCTGCACCTCCTCCCCGCACCCCACCCCCACACATCGCCCTGAGCCGGTGGGGCTCCCTCTCTTAAAAGTCACACTGTACTTCAGGAGGATGAAGTCCAGCCGGGCTGAAGTTAATGATACACGCACCAGCCGGCGAGGGTGGGGCGGTGCCTGGAGAACCCTGTCCGCGACCCCTCCCCTCCTTGTGCCGGGGCTCCGGACGGAAAGGGGGTTGTTACTCCTCCAGCTTTTTGAAGTCGGCGTGGCGGTTGCTTCACCCCAGCTTCAGCTACCATCCACAGGGGCCGCGGAGGAAGCTGGCACCTCTGGGGCTGCTGGGAGTGGGGTGGCCGAGGAGGGGAAGGATTGCGGGGATCCGAAGAATGGGAACCGACACCGCCAACAGGGCCGAGGAAAGGGGACTGCACTCCCTTGAGCTGCCCTCCCTCACTCCCACTCCCAAAGGCCAAGGGACAAGAAGTGCAGGTGGCAAGACGCTCAGGGTCCCAGCCCAGTCTGGGAAGGAGCGTGGGGGTAACGGGACGCAGCCCCAAGCCAGTGCGACCTGTCGGTAGGCGGAAGCAGTTTCCCCCTCGAGGATCTAGTTTCAGAAAGAGGAGGCAGGCGCGGGGTTGGACGTCCAAGGGGTGCCTGGGTCTCCTCCCGCTTCCCCCTCCCACCCCCTTGCAGTCGCCGCCGGGTCAGGGTCCACACTTACCCGCTCCGGACGGCTCTTTTCGGTTTCGTGCGGCTCCGGCGCGGCGGCCTGCGGCTCATGTTCGCCACCAGCCCCCTGCGCCTCGGTGGCGGCCGGCGGCTCGGCCTGCCCGGGCCCGTCCTGGGCGTGCAGCAGCTCCTCCCGGACCTGGACACCCAGCTTCTGCAGCCGCTCGTCGGTCTCGGGGTCGACCACCAGCAGGCGCACGGCGTTGAGCGCCGCGCGGATGCGGCTCACCACCTGTTGGTGGGTCTCCTTCTCTACGTTCTCGCCGTTCACCTCCACCAGCCGGTCTCCGGCCAGCAGCCCCGCCTTCTCGGCTGGCGAACCGGGCTCCACAAGCCTGATGAACTGGCCCACCTTGCCCTTCTCCCCGTGCAAGTGGAAGCCGTAGCCGTTCGGGCCCTTCTCCAGACAGCAGAGCCGGGGTAGAGGCGCCCCGGCCGCCGCGTCCGCGCTCATCTCGCCCTGCGACGGCTCAGTAGTGAGACTTGGGTTCCCGTTGGGAGCCGGAGGCGGGACGGCTCAACCCTTCTCCCCGCCCTGCGGACCGGCAGGCGGGAGGAAGCACTGCAGAGAATCCCCGCGCCGCCGGGTGGGCTGAGCGAACAGGTGTGCGGCGAGCGGCGGCCGCGAACTGCGAGAAGCTGAAGCAGGGGCGCGTGGACCAATCCCCACCCAGCGCGGCGTCTGAGCGATCTCGAATCCGCTCCAGCCCCTTATTCCGGGGGCGGGGCCACACCGAGGGTGTGGACACCGCGGCCCAATCAGAGACCACGGACAGGGGCGCTCGGGCCGGGTGAACGACGCCGGCCAATGGGAACGCGCGGGGGCGGGGTCCTGTGCTCGGCGCGACGCCCCGCGGCGCGAGAAGAAAGAGGGCTCAGGAAGTGGAAGTGTTTGTTACCAAGTGGCCCAAGTTGAGGCGGGGGGCGGGGCGCGTTCCCAGTACTAGGCAGAGGGGCCCTTAGGCTTCTGGTTTTCCCTACCTTTGGCGGGGATTGAGGAGAGCCAACCCACGAATAAAGGACTCTAACGTTTTAACGACCTTTCGCTAAATCCTTGTGTGTACCACAGTGAGGGGTTGGGAGGGTAGGGGGTGGGGAGCGACTGTTGCCGGGGAAACCGCTCCAGCTCCGGGGCTGCGGGGTCCCAGAAGTCTTACGAGTAAGACTAGGTCCACCTCCGGCCCAATAAAGTTGCTTGAATAACGATATTTTCCCGTTCATGGGCTTTGCGTTGTCCGAGGACACGCTTACAGGGTGCGGGCTCTCAACCTCAATGGGACAGTATGAGGGCTCAGCAGGGAGCCCAGGCTTCCCAGGGCTGCCCACTGAAGACAGGTCACCTAGGACAAGGGTGTGAGCACTGGCGTCAGCGTTTGGCCAGTTAAGTGGGGGAAGAGAGGCAGAAGAGAGTCAGGTAGCCAATCTCTGAGTACAAGGCAGAGGGAAAGGAGCCCCGGCTTTTTTCAATAGGAAAAAAAAAAGTCCGAATGGGCCGTTAAGACAAACCTTTCAGCTCCTTGCAGATGAAAAAGGCTGATCACAGAAGTTGGGGAAGGGTCTTTTAAGGGTGAGGTGAGCAGTTGGGGGGCATTGAAGGATGAAGATCAAATGATTTGGGCAGTCAATGACAGTTCCCCCAACATGCAATAACAATCAACATGATCTCCCCTGTCCCCTCTCCATGCGCACCTCAAAGAAGCAGTGGACAGGGTGTACTTTCCCAATTCTGCAATTTAATTCTGAAAACACAAATGCTAGAGGCCCAGAGCAGCCCATGTGACTGGATTGCCTGCGACCTGCCTTGGGCCCCAGAGGAGCCCAGCAAGGTCAGGCCTCCCTGCTCCTCCCGGGAGAAGCCTCAGAGAGCTTCCTTATCAGGCCCAAGTTGGAGCTGCTGACTCTGCTCAGAGGGCAAGATTTCTGCCTTGAAAGCAAATGCAGTAGCCTTAGAAATGTGCGGTGTGTACTTCTTACTCTTCTCTAGGTCATGACCCACAGGTCTCCTGTTCACCTCCAATTTCCAGGGTCAGGGTTTTGTGAGACAGGTGACCTTGGCCCCACATAAACTCCTTGCTGCCTTTTTCCTTACCCCAGTCTTACCCACATGACTTTGTTTTACACACACTGTGTTGGTTTACCCAGAAATGGGTGACCTCTCACTCTCTAACCTGGCTCAGTGGAAGGGGACATAGAGCAGTTTTGGCCGGGGTGGTGTCTGTCTAAAGGGAAAAGGCATGGGTGGTCAGGAAGGAGCAGTGCTTGGGTTTGGGGGAATATGCGTGGGGTGAGGTTTGCTTAGTTCTGCCTCCCACCTGCTCCAACAGTCAAAGGTTCCTCCTGATCTGATTCTTAACTCGGTAGAAGCACTGTAGCTGCTTGAAGTAGCCTGTGGGGCCGCATATCTGCCAGAGTGTTGGGACAGAAGAAAAACCTTTCCTTAGCCATGACGTTAGGTGTCTCGGGGCACAAGCAAAAAGGTAGAGAAGACCAGGGATTTGGGGGGGGGGAAAGGAGGGAGGGTTCCCCTGGGACCTGAGGTCCAGAGAACAGGAGCCAAATGTTTTCAGTCTAAGGGCTGGAGAAAAAGGGGTACACCTCCCACAGGGGGGCTAGTAAGGCCAGAGGGAGGCAAACATAGACCTAGTCTGTGTTACTCCTCTCTCCCCTACCCACAGAGCTTGGTCACTTCCCTGAGCCTTGGTCTGGCTCCCAGCACAAGGGCCCATCTTACTGGGGAAGACTGTTCCCTGGGAGCTGGAGGAAGTAAAGCTGGGGTCTGCTTCACCCTCTCCAGCTGAGTGAGGGTGGCTTGGGGTCGCTTCCTGCCCTCCCGCTGCAGAAGTGCATCACTGCCCTCTGGTGCTGAGCTGGAGAATACCACACTTGTCAAGGCGAGGAGGGAGCCTTGGCCCCATTTAAGTCCTAGTACCAGAAGGCAAAAGGACAACCAGGTCCCTCTCTTGGTTTTCTGGTCCCCACCCCTCCTTTTTTGTATTACATTATGTATCATTAAAATGAAATAAATACTTTTCCCTCCCCCAGGATGCAGGGAAGCTACAGGAACTAGGGTAAGGGTGGGAGTACAGCTCTCTCTTGGGAAGGGGCTCTGCCCTGGGTCCCCCAACTTCCATCCGCTCAGAATAAACCAGATCTGGGGGAGAAGGCTGCATCCGCAGGGGCCTCTGGAGCCTCCTTTCAGCACCTTGGGCTTCATAAGAAGGAGCAGCAGCTGGGCTGTTTCTTCTGGGACTCCACAAAGTCTCGGATCTGGAAATGGGGCCCACCGGGCTGCCACAAGGCTCTGTACTTCAGCTCCCTTGAAGAGGAAGAAGAAGTGGGCTGGGCAGGGAGTGAGGAACTGCACCCTCCCCACTCCCGTGGCCTGGGGCTACTGGACCTAGAATGCACAATGCTTTGGGGCAGGGGCTGGGCCAGGGGCCAGGCCCTACTGGATTCCCAGATGGTGCCACCCTGCCCTGCACGATTCCCTTCCTTGCTCGGCTCTTACTTGGCAATGGCCAGAAAGGCTAACTCCACATTCATGCCCGTCTTGGCGCTGGTCTCCATGAAGGGAACTCCGTACTCCTGCCAGGAAGAGAATGTCCTCAGGGCCAGCCTCTGGCTGTCCCCACCCCTTGTCCTGCCCACGGGCAGTCACTTACCCTGGCCAGTGTCTCTCCATCCTCCGAACGGATCACCCTTTCACTGCTCACATCCGCCTGTCAAGCCCAGGTGGGTCACTCTGGGGAAGGAAACCTCCACCCCAGCGGGCCCCTCTCCTGCCTGGGCTGGTCCCTCTTTAGCCGCAGGAGCAGCTACTGCCTGCCCTCTGCTGGTGGCCTGTGGGACTGTGGGTGGTATGATTGGCTTGGAGCCAGGGTTTCGGCCTTGTTCAGGCTGAGTTACCCAGCTCCCAGCCAGGGGATCTCACTGCCACTTGGCGAGATCGGAAACTCTCCTTTGCCAGGGGTGTGGTGACTAGCCTCAGAGAGGTGACAGTAGTTGGGACTAGCCCTTGCTAGTTTTAGCTCATCATCTGTGACCCTATTTTACTATGATCTAACGGGGGCTGAGCAGTTGGGCATCCCTGGATCTCTCAGATGGCAGCTGGGCTTTCCCTGGAGGGGGCCATTTCCAAAGCTTTACGAGGGCAGATGAGATGGGCTGAAGCTGCCAAATAGGTCTGACCCTTGAACTGGAGTCTGGAAAGAATCCTTTGCTGGGGGCGCCTGGGTGGTTCAGTTGGTTAAGCGACTGCCTTCGGCTCAGGTCATGATCCTGGAGTCCCTGGATTGAGTCCCCCCGCATCGGGCTCCCTGCTCAGCGGGGAGCCTGCTTCTCCCTCTTCCCCCCCCAACCCCCCCCCCCCCGCTCTCTTTCTCTCTCACGCTATCTCTGACAAATAAATAAAATCTTAAAAAAAAAAAAAGACACTTGGCTCGAGGTGGCCCAGCTAGCACAGCTGTGGCGGCTCAGGCCTGCTGCCCACCCACCACTGTGACTGTGGGGGCTGTGAGCAGGGGTGTTGCTGATCCTTCCTGGGTGGGGGTGAGGAAAGCCACCGAGGGAGCAGGTGGGCACAGCTGGAAGTCCCCTCCCCCCCTCCTCAGACTGTATTACAGCCACCCCACACCCTCTGCCCTGTAGGATTCTTGACCCAGGCTGGTCTTCCCAATGAGATGTCACCTGCCACCCAATCTCTGCGTGGCACTTGTCCACCTAACACCTTTTTCACTTGTGAGAACCAATGAAGATACCATTAACAGTCTCCACTTTGCAAACAAATTCAGGCTAAAACTAATTAGTAAAACTCAAATTCTTTATATGAGATGCCTTTAGGGAAAAAGTCTTACTATGTTTATTAATTTTTTTTT